GTGGAGGGAGAGGCCAGAGCCGCTCGCTTGCAAACAGCTGCTGAAAGCAGCCCCTGGGCTCGCTTCCTCCGCCACCCCAAACCCAGGGACACGGCGGGATGGGGACAGACGCCGTGGGCGCAGCAGGACCCCCGGGGAGGACAAGCCCCGCCGCTGGGTCGGCACGGTTCGCTGACATTTCTGTGTGGACGTTTCTGACCAGGTTGGCTTTTCCCCAAGGGAAAAGGGTTATGAAGACTTTTTTTTCCCCCCCCTCAGTGGCAAAATAGCAGATGAACTCAGAAAACCAAAGCACAGGGCAGAGCCGTGACCACGAAAGGCCACCCGGCTCCGCGGGGAGTTAAAAGGTGACCTCCAGCAGCACGATCGCGTTTCAGCAGCCGCACAGGCAGCAGAAAACCATCGCTTTACCAAACCCAGGATCCCACCTCTCCCAAAATCGGAACGGGGCAAGAAGCGGGATTTTTGGTGAGCCCACCAGCTGGTTTTTACAAGCTCTCCCTGGAAATAGGGAGGATCCTGACGGATGCAAACAGCTCGGTGCCGGGCAAGGCGGCATGCTAATGCCTAGAGCATGGTGGGAGCCCAGGAGCTGTGAACTCAAGTCTCCACCAGCATTAAACCTCCAAGAGAACATGATGCAAGGCCTTAGACAGCAGAGGAGCAGACCCAGCGACCCAAGGGCTCTTCCCAAGCAGCTGGAAACCAGCCTCGGGCTGCAAAAATCTCATCGAGAGAGAAGCAGGCTGGCACAGACCCTGCAGCTTGTGCATGAGGTAACAGACACGTGATTTACCGAGCATGGCTGCAGCGAGATGATACGACCGTCTTCAGGACGTGAAAGAGTCGATTCAATTAAGGTCACAGGCCCTAGAAGAGTTTTCTGCAGCAGATGCGGTTGGGCAGAGCAAGGTTTTCCTGGTGCGCCTCAAATGGGGCTGGCCTCAGGAAGACAAAATGACTATTGATCGTGGGCAGCGATGCTGCACGTCGCAGGACGCGAGGACATGGCTTCGTTGGGATTAAATCGCCTGGTGCTGGTCGTCGCACGCTTCCGAGGCAGGGTCGATATTGCTCTTCTAATTGCTCAGCTCCTGTCACTCGCAGAGCAAAGGGGACGAGTTTCAAAGCAGCCCCCGGAGATGCTTTTCAAAATCCTCCTCCCCAAGCCGCACAATTTAATGCACCGCTCCTTGGAGCGAGCAATTATGCAGCTGCAGAAATCGCTAAACTGCTCCTCCCCTGCTCAAAACTCTGTGCCGGCACCAGCAGCAGCACGGAGCTTTGCGGGAGGACACTGCTGACCCGAAAAACTAGAATTTGTGTAATCCTAAAAAATAAGGAGCTGTTGGAACTGGTCAGTATGGAGTCAGCGGAGCTGAGCATCCCGTCTCCAGCAGCAAGCAGCGATTTGGGGGAGAACGCATGTAATTACAGAGAGATCCTGCCACCGCCCACCAGCACCTGGGACGGGGGGACGGGACGTGCGTGGTGCATCGGGAGCACGACGCTCGGGAGCCATGGAGGGTCCTGCCCCCCAATCCCACCCCTGAGCTCCAGCACACCCCGCAGCAGACAGCCCCATTGTTCCTACGCTCCGTTTAATTATTCACCGCCCTAGAAAGTGTGCCCCTTGGCTGGTATTTAGTTGTGCCCGAAGGAAGCGGACCGGAGCCAGTCCCGTACCAGCACCCGGCACTCTGCCACAGCACCGCGCTCAGCCGAACCACAGCAGGACGGACCTGGCTGAGCCTTCCCAGCCCTGCTCTCCTCCGGCACGCCACGGCCCATCGCTGGCACAAACGGAGCATCACCAAGATACAGCGAGGCCCTTCCACTGTTTTCACTCCGACGCAAGCCTGTGGAGCTGCTATTGGTTTCTATCAGCATAACCGATGGCAAGATGAAGCCCTTGGTCCTGACCTTGCGGAGGAAGCGGTGAATGCTATCCCCATCTCCCAGCACCAAGCCTCCAAACAAACTACCTGCCCCCTCTCCAGCACTTAAAAGCCATCTCAACCCAGCAAAACTGCTCACTAAGCAGCAACGACAGAGTCCCCTCCTTTCAGGAGCTGGGGTCAGATTATTTTTAAAATCTTTCCTTTTATTGATTTCAACATCAGGTACAGAAGATACATTTCACGAAACCGTAGAGCCCTCATAAAACGGGTCTGCGGCGTTGTCTCTACCACAACCTCATTGCAGACAAGGGAGATGCAAACATTTACTGTAACAGCAATAAACAGGCAAAGACGGTCGAGAATGGAGAAAACCTGGACACGGGGCCCTCTCCCAATGGCACCTTATTTCTGGGGAATGGAAGGGACAAAATAACAGTGGGCTTGGCCGCAAGTCTCATCCACCCAGGGAGAAACCAGGGCAAGAAAACCCTCCTTTGCGCCAACACCCCCATTTTGCAAAAAAAAAAAAACCAAAACACCCACAGAGCCCCAAATCAGTGCCATGGCTGCGGCCGGGATCCAGCAGAGCTCTGCCAGGCGGCGAAGCGAAGGGGAAGATGGGCATTGGAGACCCGCAGAGGCACCCGCCGCTGGGTGCGGGGCTGCCCACTGGGCTGCAGGACTTCAGGCAGGTGCCACCTCCCTGCCCCGCACCAGCTTTCGTGTTGCAAGGGGGGGGACTGCCTGGTCCCGCTCACTAGGACCCCCCTGCGCCCGCAGCAAGAGAGGGGTGCGCAGCCAGGCAGGGTGCTCCCTGCCTCCCTGCCGGCACCAGGACCTGCTGCTGCTCCTGACACCGGAGCAGAGCTGTAGGGTCAGATCCTGCACCAATTTGGGAGTCTGAGGCCCTGAGCTGCATCCAGCTGGGGTAACCTCCACGGGGGCCCTCTCCTCACCCCCAGCCCAGGGCAGGGGAGATGCACGGCCCCTGGCAAGCGAACTCAAGGGGGAAGGCAGCGAGAGCCCCAAGGTTGGGATTTCCCCCCCTACCTGCTACGCAGAGTCCTGCATCTTCCGCTCCTGCCAGAGGATGAGCTGCGGCCACCGCTCCTCAAACAAACTGCAAAGAAAAAGCGAGCAGCCATCAGTCTGAGGGGACGGAGGCAAGGACAGGGCTCCCCACACACCCAGTCCGAGCACAGCTGGCCAGAGGGGACAGTGAGGGGCTCCCGGTCCCCGCCGCAGCAGCCCTGGCTGAGGGGACAGGAGCCGGAGGGGTCTCCTCCCGCACTGCCCTGATCCTGAGCATCACTGCAAGGGCCACGGAGGCCGGGTGGGACCTTGCCGGGCTCCTGCAAGGCAACCAGGAATGCAGAGAGCATCCTGGTACCTGGAGGTGGGGATGGGATACGGGAACCTGTGGGACTGCGAAAGAAAGGGGGGAAAAGGAGCAAGAAAGACAGGTATAAAAAGACCAGGGGAAAAGGAACTAAAAAGAGTTCAAGAATTAAAGAAACCATAAACCAAAAATTATCGTTAACGAGGGACGAGATCCAGCCCGGCAGCGCGGCCGGCAGCGAGTCGTTCAAGGTTTCAAGTGAACTTTGCGATCTCTGTGAAGTCCCTCACGCGCGCCCCGCGGGGAAAAGCACCGACCTGTGCGCTCGGATGCTTTTTCCCAGGGAGCACAGCCCGCACGTTTGGCCCAAAGCAGCCCTCGCCGAGAAAAACACGCCGCGGCCCAGAAGGAAACGCGGCTGCTAAATTCATCTCACTCGCCACTCAAAGACGGGAGGTGATCCACGGGGCAAAGCGCAGCGGTTTCAGCCAGCCTTGTGCTGCTCATTCATCTACCGGTGGCCATCACCATCTGGCGTGGGACAGTGCCTCCCCTGTGCAGAGTCCGTCCCTCATGGCGCGCTCCCGCAAGCGAGAGGAACAGCGCTCTCTCCCGCTGAATAAAAGGGAAACTGAGGCACGGAGGCCAGCACCCGGCTCTCCGAACACGCCGTGAGCTCCCGCTCCCGAAGCTGAGCTGCAGCCTCACCCCCGGCGCCTGCAACAGAGCAAGGAATTGTGTTCGGCTTTCCGGCGTCCTCATCCTCCGCTTCAACCACAAAACCAGCCTTCCTCTCCCCGGCTGCCTCCCCTCCCACGGCCAGCTCATTTCCTGACATTACAAAATTCAGCCTGAACAAAGCCGGAGCAAGGAGCGCGTGGCTCCGGCCAGGGCTGCACCTACCCCTTGCCCCCAAGGAGCTGCACCGAGGGGACACCCCAAAACAGCCGGGGTACAAGCGGCTTTCCAGCCTCCCAAGAGCACCAAACCTCGCGCCGCACGGGCTGGGGTCCTGTGGATGGACCGGCCGCAGGGTTTCCCAGCATCGGGACAGACGGACGAGTCTGGCTCCGTCACCTCCACGATGGGAGAGCAGCAGGGACAGGGATAGGGGGCTCCAGCTACTGCCCTGCTTGCACCCACTAATGCCCAGACCAACCTGTTGACCCCCCCCAGGACCACCCCTTTATTTCCCTTAATAAAAAGAGAGCGTCCCAAGTGGGGACAAGGACACCCACAGAAGAAGTGTCACCTTACAAGTGCTACACTCCCAGCTGGGTCGAGGGACGATTCTACCTGCGCTTCCACTTTCTGCCTTATCTCAGCTGCCAACTCGGGGGTCAGGGGCTGCTTCTCTGCAAACGAGCCCCCCCATCGCAACGGGACCCGCCGGGCTGTCATTAGTGCAAACCCGGGTGTTACCCACAGGGAGCGGGGCCAGGGCCGGCTCCGAGGGATGGAGACGTTAGCGTGAGTGGGACCACCCTTGCACTAAGGGGCTGCATGAGATTGGCACCCATGCCACGGATGCTGTCCCTGGTGTTTAATGCAAAGGGTCTCTCGATGGGCTCCTGAACACCCCCCAATGGTGTACGAGCCGCTCTTGCTGGTCTCAGCATGGCAGCACCTTGCAGGGCTGGTGGCAGAGCACCCATGCTCCCTGCCACCACCCCGGTGTGGGGACCAGGAATCGCAGGCTGGGCTGGGTGGAGGATGTGTGAACACGTGGCTCAGGTCTGTGCCCGGGGCTGGCTCTGCTCCGGGCAGCTGAACCACCACCTGCCCCGGGGGGCTCGGGGCCAGCTCCACCATCCCATTGGGATGCAACAGGGGACATGCAGCCAAGCAAGACCTCGTACATGGAGTTGACCCTGCTCAGTGGGGAATGCCGGTAGACAAGCCGGGAGCATCCCTGCAGGCTGCAGGATCCCTGCTCGCAGCCCACCTGAACCCGGAGCCGTGCACCCACGGTGCCAGTCCACACGTCGCCGCCACAGGACAGCCGGTACAGCCATGCCAAGCGCCGCTTACACAGACCCTAGCACTGACAGCAAAAATATTCGTGGCTGGTTATTTGCAGTAGCCTACATCCCCAGCTCCCAGAGCCAACTGGGCTGTTATGACGATGACCGTCGGACAACACCTGACTCCATGCAGCCCTCGGCCGTGTCGCGGTCCCCAGATCGTGACAACTAATGGCAATGCGTTTGCCAAGTCACTCCGGCAGACCATCTCCCACCTCACTGCGGCAAGGTGGGAAACCCTGGGGAGGCCAGGATCGGTCTCAGGCTATTTAGCCCGGCAGGCAGCTCTGACACAGCCCACGCACTCCCCTGCAAAGGCCTGATCCCAACCCAGCGCAGGGGCACAACCCAGTGTCATCCGGCTCTGGATCAGCCCCCGAGACAGGGATGGACAGCACGCACGGGCAGACAGTCCAGGGACCACGGTGCACGCAAACGTGAGCTCAAGGGCTTGATCCTCTCCAGCCCCACGGCTCCAGGGTTGCTTCATGCCCTGGCCAAGCTGCACAAGCCACTGCCCTTTGGACCCAGGGGTACATCCAGCACCAGTAAACCCCAGTGAACCCCCAGTCCCCATTCTGCAGTGTTTTGAGCTGGTGCAAAGGAGCAAAGCTCCTACCCGCCGGCGCTCCCGGCTCCCCGTGTCCACCCATGCACATCCTGTGCCCCAGCGGGCGAGCATCCTGGCACGGCTCCCAGAAGCTCTGGATTCTGGGGTATTTCGAAAGGTCACCACCCGACCCACTGCGGCACGGTGAGACCAGGACCGGGTGAAAGGTTGGGGCTGCGCCGTGCCACCGGCAGCACCAAGGGACCCTGCGCAGCCCCCAGGTCTCATCCCCGCGGCACCACCTGCATTCGAAGCCTTTTTGTCTTAAAGAGAGAAATGCTGCCCAGGAAAGGGGAAAAGTATCATGTTTTCAAAAAGCTCTGTTATTTTATAAACTAGGGAAAAAAAAACATGCAGGGGAGGGATGGAAGCAGCAAAGGCAAGTGAATTCCCCTTTCTAAGTGAAAAAAAGGAGGGGAGGAAAAGGGGGAAAGAGAAGACAGTCTTTTTGTCCAGCTTTCAGACAGAAATGCTGAGCAGACGATAAAATTGTTCCTGTTTGAAAACCGAAGCTTCGGTTTCGCCCAGCGACAAACCAAAACGCCTCAGGGCGGGCTCTGCCTGGAGAGCAGCAGGAAAACCTCCCTGACATTGAGGGGACCTCCTGGGACCCCTCATTTTTTAACTGATGTAGTTGGGCTGGTGTTACCCGCCATGCAAAGGCAGCGGGTGGCTGGTGGAGCTACTGCAACCTGCCTGGAAGGATCCCGGAGGACCAAAGGTGGCTGGTGGCTGGTGGAGCTACTGCAACCTGCCTGGAAGGATCCCGTGCAGGGATGAGGGTCTTTGCTAATACCCCCAAATACATATACTTTCATATATATATATCCCCAAATATATACAACCCCATATATATACACACCCCTGACTACATCATATATACATGTAACACCCCCAAATAATCCCCCTGAGCCAGTGGAGGAAGGGTCTCAGGCAAAACCCACCCTCGCTGTGCGCAGAAGGCTGGAAGACACTAAATCACTCAAACGAGCTCCCAGCCCCATTATTAGATCAATCACCAGCCAATTAAGCCGCCGGCGTGAGCTCGCCTCGCTACCTCAGCAAGGGAAAGCCTCGCCGTGTCTGGCTTGGCTCGGGGTGCTGGCGTCCCCGGGGTATCCCACAGGGCTACTGCCACGGGGACGTCCGAGCACACAGGGGGGGAAAGTTGGGGGGAGGAGGGGAGATGGAGCGGGGTAAATCATCTGCTCTGGGGCTCCTCCGGGCCAAAGCAGAGCCAAAGGGGCCAAGAGGGAGGCGCAGATTGCGGAGGGGAAGAGCAGCCGACCACAATCTCTCCTTCCCCTTTTTTTGTGTTTCCTCTAGCAACGGGCTCGGGGCCGCAAACATTTGGATGCTAAACCTGAACTTCCCCCTCCCTGGGCTCCCGACCCGGCTCACCACTCCTCTGCCAGGCGCTTGGCAACAGGCAACAGCAAGGATCAGCCCCTAATATCAGCTCCCTGCCCCCCCCCCAAAAAAAAAAAAACGACTTTCTCCATTCGTGCACCCCCCGAAACTAAAGCATCTCACCTGGCCCGGGCCCCCCGGCCCCCCCCCAAAAAAAAAAAACGACTTTCTCCATTCGTGCAGCCCACGAAACTAAAGCATCTCAGCCATGGCCCGGCCTCCAGTTTGCACCGGCCACTGGGAATATCCCCAGGGCTTAATTAGGCCTGATGAGTCTTTTATGTTTGGGTTTCCTCTGGCTTGCCACTAAGAGGTGGGAAGGGACAAACTGGGAGAGATCCCACTCCAGGCAGGAGCACCGGGCAGGACAGGCTGGCGGTTAAACGCAGCGAAAAACCACAGCTCCCAACTGCCCATCGTGCCGGATCCCGCACCCAAGTCACACCACCGGCACAGCAACAGGGGCTGCAGAAAGGGAGACGGGAGGAAGGCGGGTGGGAGCCAGGAGGGAGAAATCCACCTCCAGCAGCACGAGGTGCTCAGCTGCCCGGCATGATGGTGCAGGGATGAGCAATGGCACAAGAGCCACGCCGTGCTGAGGACACGTCCACACCGTGCAGAAGGTGCAACCACCACCGGTGCTTCTCCAACACCTGCACAGGGATGGGTTGAAGGTGCCCCAGCTCGAGGTAGGGTGGGAATCACGAGGGGCTCACTTCCCCGCTCCTCCAGGTCAC